ATCAATTATCTATAGCTAGTAACTGCACACGATTGTCCCTTTGAAATTCATCCTAGAAACACAAACCATCATCCCTATATCTAAGATCTCAAACAGCCCTCTGAGCACTTTAGCAATATAGCAAACTGAATGGACAGCAGTGGTTTTGCAGATAGGAAAGAGATACGGGTTGCAGCCCACTCTGGAGTGGAGTGATGTCTTAAAGAATGACTTTTGTATGGGGATAGTTCCATCACATACTTTAAAACATGTTGGCAAAGGCAAGTGGAAAATGTATGTCAATTCACTTAACTTATTAAACACTCGTTGGTGATTTATTGCATATTGTGAAGTGGACAACTCTTAGGATCCGTACTGGGAAAAAATAATTAGTTCTACATGACTGCAGGACAAAGAACTAATCTGTAAAGTCTGGCATTTCCAAAAGCTTTTAACTTTTAATGTTTTAAATAGTTCAATTTTTGGAATGACTGCTAGAGCATCACAGGTATACAACCCATGTATAATCTAAATGTCACGTTATAAAAAAAGGTAAAATGTAGAGAATATTTCTCTGTATAAGGCTTCTCTCAGACATATGTAACTTCACATTTTTAGCTTATAAACTAAGTCCCATATAATGGGGAACTTCAAAATACACCTATTTTCAGAAATAATATATACTCTTGTGTATTTATCTGAAATTAAAAAGCAACTTTGAGACAAAAAGGCCTCAAATTGCTTGTGTGGCATCGTTTTACGTCTGTGGTAGCAGCAGTAGAAATTGGCTAAAATGGGGCCACCCTTTAAACGATAGGTATTTTTCTTCATCACAATTAAATGAAGTATTTATAACAACTTAATTCGAGCTGCATCAAGTTAAAGCAGCTAAAAACCTACACCACACATTTCAAATCACTGATACTTTTCTCCAGAGCAATGCCAATGACAAGGACAAATTCCACGTGAAATATTCTGACCAACTGAGGAAACAAATTGTGTTTAGTTGTTTGGGGATTTTTAAGAAATAAATGCAAGTCTAAAAAGTGATAAAGAGGGTGGAAAAGGGAGGGGAGGGGAAAAAAACTGTGCTGGATGGATTGGTTAGGCAGGCAACAGCAAGCATCTGAGTTTAGAAATCCAGTTTGCCAAATAAATAAAAAGAGCCAAATTTCTCTCAGGTATATCCTTAAAGAATACTGAATTAGGGAGTCCTATATTCATTTAAAGCTCTTTTTACTAATGCTTGCTTTGCTTCTGTCTAAAAATGCCTTCAAGGATTACTAGCTGATGTTCTATGAGGAGAGCTGGTCAAAGAGAACATCAGAAAGCATCCAGAAAAATCTAAGAGGTAAATCAACTCAACTTCTTTCCAGCTGAATATCTGAATTTTTAAGATTTTTCCAATTTGGGAAGAGTGAGTTAGGTCTACAGATTAATTACCTTTGGGGGAAGGAGAGGGGTGGAGAGAAGTCATCTACATTTTGTAATCACTTTTTTTCTCTTTTGAAATAAAAATTCTGAAATTTCCCTTCCATGCCATTAACTAAAAGGCAATGGTCATTCCTTATGCATGCGTGTTTATCCAGCAACCCACAAACTACATACAGAGGAGCATGGAACAAATGCCCAGGGCTGGGTGCTACAACCCTGTGGGCAAACCTCCCGCAGGGAGGGGCAGAGGAACGCTCCCCTGGTCCAAGCTTGGCAGTGTTACCTTCCCCAGGTACCAGTGCATCAAGGACGTGAGGTTTCAGCCCTGTGCAGCAAGGATAGAACAAGGGGATGCCCTCATATGGCTGGGAGCAAGCTGGAGTTCAACCCCACGGCTGCAGGGCAGGGTTGTGGCTGCTCCCCAGGGACCCCCTGTCACTCTCCCTCCTCACCCCGCTTTTAGCAGGGGTGGCAAGGCAAGTGGGCTTCTTCCAGCCCTGAGGGGTGCCCAGGGCCTGACTGTATCCACACCCTGGATGTGGTCTCTGAGTTAGGCAGTATAAGCCACGGCAGTGTTGCTTCTTGCTTTTCTGTGCATTTAGTTCTTTATCTTCTTTTCCTTGATACAAGTTGCAGGGGAAGATTTGTTCTTCTCCTCTTAATTTCAAATATGGTAAATATTCCTTAAATACTTTGTCTGCTGCCTAGGAAAATATCAATGATATAAATCTTGAACTCTTGTAAGTGTGCTCTTAAGAATTATTATTCTACATCTATAGACATCAATTGTGTTAAAGTCTATCATGTATTTTCTAGTACAACCTAAAAATCCATAAGTTAAATGCATTGCCATGCAGTGTGGTATCTGGATAAACAAAGGGTGCTGTCATGAAAATAGCAACAACTGCATTTAACGGTATCTTTAAGTTCACCTTTGTTCAGGTGGTGTGCCGTATATTGATGTAGCTATATCAAAGGATGTGCTATTTTACTGATCTAGTGGTTATCATAAGATGAAAATTATTTCAACACAGGGAAAAAAAAAAAAAAAACAAACCAAACAAAACCCCCGTTGATAGCGACATCTTAGTTTCAGGGAGAAAAAAAAGTAACATTTTCCCCTGTCTTCATCTAAGGGTGTCTCTCTGTGTCCTTTAGCTGGATGTGAAGCATCAAAGTGACAGGTGAATTTTTTTTAGTTCATGTACTATTAAGTGCTCAAGAGAAAAAAGTAGATCTGGTTTACTATGAGGCTTTTTCAGAATTATTTGTGCTTTAAACACATTATCAAGATGAATACTAGAGGTGAAGCTTTGAAAACTCACCCCTAGATTTGCCTACGTATCTTCTTATTCTTATTTGTATGGGCAGATTTAGCATCTTTGTTTAGAGAATTTGTCTCTAAGATAATTTATGGGTTTGTGCAAAAGAACATGTTTCCACTAGAAAATGCTAAAACTGCTTATCTTCACTGAGAAAACTGAACTATTATTAGGGTTAACTTTCAATAACACTGTTTTTAACCATTTCAGTTGAGTGAATTGCCAACAAGGCAAAACTAATTTCAAAGCAATTAGTTTAGGTAATAGTATTCTAGCATTACATAGTGCTGCTCATCCAGTGATGTCAAAACAGAGATAAGTCTGTAAACCTCACAGGTCTCCTGCACGTGTACTAAAGTATTATTATCCCTGTTTCACAAGCTGGGGAAAATGATGTCCAGAAGGATCTTGTGGCTTGCCCAAAATCAGGCAGCTAATGGAAGAGCTCTGGACAGAAGGCAGGAGTCCCAGTGTCTATCCATTGATCTGACCAATAGGCTGGGTTGCTTGAATGAATAATGAGGTTTACAATGAGAAATATGCAATAATGAAAATATGTATGTGATGCTACCTCCAGAACAAGCAGAAACAATTTTGCCCTGTAGGTAGCAAAGCAGTTAGACAGCAAAAGTTTCACGCTGGGGCAAATTTTGCAAAAACATTCAAACTTCCTGTACGAATGCTCACTGTAAGCTTTTAACTCCTTTACAAGAGCTTGACTGCATATACTGGTAACGTCTTGCTATCAGTTGGCATAAAACTCCCTCTGTCTTAGCGTCCTCAAATGAGATTTAATTCACATCAAGTTATTTAGGATTTGAAGTATTTCCTCTAAGCATCTTTCACAAAAATGAATCTCCCTAAAGGGAACTTGATAAAAATAGAAACTCTTGATGGGAAAAAAAAACAAAACAAAACAACAACCCATAAAACCAACCAAACATTTTCCCTGTAATTTTTTTTTTAGTGAATGCTGCAAGTGAATTGCTTGTTTCATCCTTTTGCCCATTTAGTCTTACACACACATACAAACAGGATACTGTCTCGAGGTACCTTCTGCTCATGGTATTTCCCAATCCCTGATGAGATACTGCTTTGCAGCAGGATGCCCCTGCACAAAGTTCATATTTAGTTGTCCCATTTCAGGTAGACTCCTACGTTTCTTCTCAGTTATGTATAGGTGCCTCAGGAAGACATAAAGAGGGAAGGTTAGGTAGAGTGTTCTCCATGCCTCAAAACATCCCTATGGCTAACAAGTTTTACATTATAACAAATTTGTACAGTAGAGAATGGGACATAAAAATATTTCCAGAAAGTGGCTTTAAAACTATTATAAATAGTAAGTTTGGCTAATGTTTCAATTAAGGGTTTAAGGGAGAGCTTGAAGTATTCTTATCCCCCACTCATTCACAGTAAATTTAGTGTGCTTGTGGCCTAATGAACAACCCACACACATACAGGGACCATTTCAGTGGGATTATATGACAAGAGAAGGACCTGTTAGTTGCACAAGCAAGCCAGTTTTGTCTCCTCCAAAAATCTCTTGGAATCCTTCCTGATGCTCTGGGTTCCATTATGGCATTCTCCTTCTACCCAACCCATCCTCTCAAACAATTATTCACTTTTTTTGCCACATCCTGCAAAATGATTTTGCCTAAACCCTGCCTAGAGTGATAGTAACAAATAGAAAAAGTCCAAGAAATCAGCAGCACAAAACTCTCAGACTTTATAAAACTGGGAAAACAATTTTCCTTCTTATATGCTGTGGCTTGTTTCATCTTCCTTTATCTTGCCATATAATAGGAATAATGTTCAGGTTGCTTGCCGTTAGTGGCCCCCACGGTTATTTAACCTCTGCAAAAGCCATACATACAATATATATTCCATGTGAATATTATACCTTGCCTATTAAATAGTACTTCATTTCATCTGGCCATGATACAGGGTGTGTGTAAACGATCAGCAGAACCTGCAACTGTGGTTCTGTTGTGAACACCATCAGTAACGCTTTATATGTGTGTGTCCATATGCATATACACATTTACATATATATGTATGTATACAAACCATAGTCCTGTAAATACCTGTTGCATGTGTATGCACACACAGGAGACAAGTTACATTCTATTAATGGTAAGGCATATTATTAGACAGGCAACGTTGGCAATTATTTTAGCTTTTTATCTTGACTTGTGTTGCTGCAGATCACGTGCTGCCAGAGGAGCTTTAAGGACGACGGGGTCGGGAAAAGGCCACTCTGAAGGTTTATTGCACACGGCGGCAGTAGTAGCCCAAAACTTTGCACTTCTCACACAGATGCTGGGGGTGTTCTTTGCTCTGATCTGAAACATCCAGGCCATCTGGCTTTTCCAGGGGTCTCTGCAATGAGAGGAAGGAAAGCAGATTAGATTCAAGGTTTTGTCACTGTTACTCTTTACTACTATGCATGTGAAGCCTATTTTTATGCTTAACTGAGTGTTCTCTTAGTAATTAAAAAGGTACTTTATTTCTTTCCTGAAGAGATGAAATATTTTTCAGCTCTGCATTATTTTAGAGTGGCCTCACATCTTAATGTCATTCTTCATAAAGGTGATGTTAACTTTGTTGTAGAAAAATAACTGAGAGACCGATCTTGGGGACTGCGTTTAAAAAAGCAGTAATGCAGAAGAGTTTAATCTGTTGGCTTCAGTAACTGAGATGAACCAAAGACATTAACACTACAAGCATGGGAATCCCATTACCCAGCAATGCCAACAGTGGTCACCAATGCTAGGATTAGCTGCTACGACTAGAAAACTGTCTTAACCATGCACAGGTATAGCTACGTGGATTTTCCTAGTTCTCTGTCCCATATTTCTGAAGTTGAAATTTTTGAAGTGGACCAGCTTCAAAGCTTTTAGTACAACGATCAAACAAAAAACCCCAAACAAACAAACAAAAAAAACCCAAAACCCAAACAACTCAACCTCACAACACTTTGCCCTGAACTGGAATAATAACTTTTAAAATAATACTTGTGAAATCACAGGTTGGGAGGCATATTGGGCTAAATAAAGGAATGAAATTATTTTTCTTGTGGTAAATCTTTGTTTTTTCATTTTCCATAACATGTAAAAGGTTTCACAATGATTTTCAAAATTCCCATGTTACGTACTGCAGCAAGGTTAAATGTTGGGAAAGTCTAATAGGTGGAGTGGTGACAGAGATGTGAAGAACATCGTAAACAACAATCATAATCCAGAGAATAGAAGGGTTTCTCATCTCTCTGAATAGCAAAAATGAGACATTTTATTCTGTTTATTTATTCTAACAAAATATTCTGTTACCATGAAGAAGGGATGTTTGCAAATTCTTCCCTAGCTGTACTGGATTGTAAGTGCAACACTCTTACTATATCACACAGCTAGTAGAAACAATATATGGGGTTAACTCAGTGGTGGTTGCCAACAGTTTGTTACTGATTCAGCTTTCTTACACGTTATATTGCCTGAGGTTTCATATGTCCCAGGCCACATGTTGTATGTCTTTGAGTTTAACTTCATTTACAATTTAATTTCAAATTGGGTTCCCTATATTGGGTAGGGCAGAAGGAAAGTAGGGGGACCCTTTGTCTCCTCTAAATCCTTTAACCTCCCCCTGCAACCCTGCTGAGGTTTGAATGACTTGCTGAAAGTCAGTACATGAGGATTTGAGATCATAACCAATAATCGTATTTCCAGGCTTGTAACCCAACCACTGGTGCAAGCAGTGCTTCTGCTACAAAACAGACAACCTGAATAAATTTATTTGGTCAGAAAAACTGCCTTTCTGCCTTTTCTACCATTTATTCAAGCAACATCTGCCCAAAAATTTTCTTCAAGATTTTGCATTATATAAATGTAGTCAAAGATGATGCTCAGGTTCAAGAGTCCCAGGAGTTAATTTATGCTCCTCAATGAAGAATCTTAGAGTTCTGAAATGCTACACTTAAAACAGATTATTTGACGCAGCTCTGATTGCTTCTACATGCTAGCTGCACTCTGATTAAAGAGGAAAAAATACAGCAGTTATCATGTTTATTGATATAAGCCAGATTTTATTTTCAATATGCAAGACCTTGGGAATAATTTTTCCTGGAAATAGTGCAAAGGCCATTGGGAACGCCTTGAAGCGCCAAGAGTTTTTGGACAGGTTTCAGAAAAAATAGCTCTCTGTGGTTTGCTTTCCCCCTGCATTGATTGAGCTCAGCTTTTTGGCCCGCAAAGCATTTTGATTTCAGAAATGTTATTGTTACTAGTGTGTTACGACACAGAGGCTGGGGAGAGAGGGGTTACGAACGCAGGCGAATGCAGGAGAGCAGGTTGCCAAGGGCCAGCTGGAAGGAGTGGAGCCGAGCAGAGCCTGGGCTGTTTCTGGTGAGGTTGTGGAAGGCTGAGGCTTCAAAACTGGTAGCGTGCTTATATGGTCTGTGTCTGAAAAAAAAATCATAAATCCAACTTTTCTCATAAAATGAAGTGTCAGCTTATCTCTGTTTGCTGTTTTCTTTTCATGGTTTTCTTGTAAGGCAAAAAAAAAATCCCTTCAAACACTGAGAAGCAACTGTTCTTGTCTTGCTGCTATTTCTTACTAATTGTGGAGGATTTTAACCTTATAGCCTTGCAACCTTTCTTACACCACGCTAAAAGGGTAGGATGCTAGACAGCCAAAAAGCTCTGTCCATCACGGTTGGACTTCCTTGGCACAGGCTGAACTTGGACAATTCTCACCAGCTTTGTGTGGAGGAAGGAGAAGATGCCAGTGCAAGAGGGATGTGGCAGGATTGGGCTGCTGCATACTGTGTATTAGCTTTGGGGATTGCCTGAATTATGCAGAAGATCCTAATAGCTGAGGAGGCTGTAAGGGTTCTGTGCTGCTGCTGGGAGGCTGGTAGCCTGAAAACTCAGCCATGTGTTTGGAAAGGGTGTGGAGAAGGGAATGGGCTATGTGGCTGAAGAAAACCGTAATTCTTTCCTTAGAAAGCGGTGAAATGGAGCTTGTTAACATAGCAAGGTTCTCTATTGTTTTCTCTGGACAAAAGCATGCGCTTCCCATTAAATGGGGAGTTTAAATATAATACCTCAATTTTTGTTGTCTTTTTTTAAATGCAAGCATCTACTATTTGGAAGTCTATCTTTTCCAGTAAAAACTACAAGGATGGGCACTCTTACATTCTTCATTTTTTGTGCATCTTTCTTTAATTTTCTCCTAGTAGTTGCCAGGTGGAAATAATGTTATGCAGCTCCTCCAGGAAAGCATTTGGGGGTAGTGATTAAAGCTGTTGCCTTGGGGGAATAAAGCTGAAATAAATTTAAGTTTAAATAGCAATTCTTGTCTTGTAAATTAATTTTTATTATGAACTATTGTTTTCCTAGTCTATGTGAACTGAATGAACTCTGCATTCCCCACAAGTCAGATAAAAACCCCGAAGCCCCAAAACAAACACCTTACCCTTATGAAGTGTTAGGTGTCAGAGAAAACATCACTAGGACATGCTTGAGGAAAACTGCCTACACTATGGAGCACAACGGAATAATGTGTGCTCATGTTTGTATTCATAAGATTGACATTTTTTCTGCTGTAGAATGGAACAATTTGAGTGCACCACTGACGGATAAAGTATTGTAACAAAATTCAAAGGTTAGAAAACATTGACATAATTTCCTGTACTTGTTACCTCAAGTCTTAATGGAGAAAAGATGATTAAATGACAGATTAGATATGTGAGTAGAAACAGATTCTGCAACTATAGCTGGCAGGATAATTAGGCTAACAGTCTAAGGAGACACAACTAACTGTTTCCCTCAAGACACATGTTATTATGAATTTGTAAATTTTTAGTTCAATAAAAAATATGCAGTGGGGAAAAAAGAAGGAAATGCAATGCACATTCTTGAGCAGCAAAGCCTTTGCTTTTCTGTCTGCCTTGGGGGAGAAGGGACGCTGAGGATCTCAGTTGTTGCTGTGGATTTGAGAGGCAGTGATAAGAAGGCTGCAGATCACAGGCATGATGCTCAGAGAGCAAGCAACACATCAGCAGTGTGCCTCTGGGACAGGCCAGCTAGGAATGAATGATAACCACATAAGCTAAATTGTGAAAATCTTTCAAGAGTTCAGAGAAGCAACAGTCTAAGGTGATTTGTATTCTTACTGTTGGCACATGCAAGTATGGGCATGCTGGGGAGGGTTTATTAAATCTAAAGATCACACAGGCCTGAAACTGTTAAAAAGTTTATTTGGCTTGATCAGACCCATCTTTCCCCATACTGAGAGAAGAGAGGTGGCTGTGGATGCACCCAGGTTGTTATGAAGGGACTGCTGCATTGCCCATGGAAGTAATAGCTTGGGTATTACGAAGAATGCATTTACATACCAAATTATTTCTAGTCCAACAATAAATTTCTGACAGATGGAAGAAAATAGTGTCCAAGGGGACAAGATGGTCACCAGATTGCTGGTTCTGCACCAGTGCAATAGGTGTCATCACAAACAGCACTGGAGTTAGCCACAAAGTCAGAGAAAAAGCCTTGATAAGAAGCCAGCCAGGAAGCAACCACAGCCACAGATGTTACTGCTATAGCAGGCAGGCGAAGAAAATGAGAATTCAAAGCTTGGCATCTGGGCTGTTAGAGAGCCAAGAATGCCAGTGAATGGCTATAAGGACTGGGTTTGTTGCTGGATCAGGGGAAGAAAGCATAAACAACTATGAAATCCAAATTCCTTGGTAGAATAAGAGATAAGTTATGTCCCATCTGAGATACCTGTTTACATTTAGAGTGGCTGAAGTACCCAGGAAACTACTTCTGGAATAGCCACAGAGCAGCTTTGTCAGGGTAAGTTTTTAGTCTCCTACTCTCCAATAAGGCTTGAGCTGAATGGGCCTCTAACTTCTACTCCCTATCCTGTGAATTCCTGTAAGCATTCCCATGGAGGGGTTTACCACTTGAGGGACATGGAAATGTGAAAGAAGGAACATAATTTAATAATGAGAACAAAAATGCATGCAGAGCTTCCTTGGGATGAAGAACTGTTTTGCAGTTGAGGTGCAAGAGCCACCTGATTACCTGCTCTGCGGATGAGTTGGAGAATGAATGGCAGCAGCCCTCCGGTCAGGCTCTGGTGTTACTGCTTATAACATGTGCTCCACCATCTCTCTTAAAAGCAGTGATTTAGAGCTGTATTTATAGAGCCTCCTGAAGTATATACACAGCTGTAAAATTGCGGAGAAGACTTCCTGCCCCAGAGAGATTAAAAGCTCATTCTCTCAGATAGCATACGTGGAGTAAGTGCACAGGGCTGAACTGAGACCTTCCTTGTGGGGAAATGGTATGGGATCGTTTTCTGGAGTGAAATGAGCCTCTGGGAGCAAAGAGCAGGTGGCAGGGAAGTGTGACTGCTCTCCTCTCCTGGGACCCACTAATGAAAGGAATGCATAGGAAATCAAGATTTGAGCCACTGCACAAGCCATTCACAGACCCAGCATATGTGCTTGAATGGCTACCCCAGAGCTATCCAGAGTGGGGATGATTGGTACTCGGACATTACTGCCTCAGCCGGTCACACAGGAGTACTCAGGCATGAACTATCCCTTGTGAGACAAGGTACACAAGCCCTACAGGACTGAAAACTCCATGGACTGAGGAAAGCAACTGAGGAAGATGAAATACAGAGGTGGAGAAGATGACTAGAGAAAAGCGCAAGCCTGACAATTGAGAACAAACTCCTAATTCTTTGAGATGAATATCAAGCAATTCTCAAATAAGGTTTTTTTTCTCTCCTAAACTGGACAAAAGCATCCTCACTTCCAATATTCAGATCATGTAGCAAGGCTTGGTGGCCCATGTTGTTATAGTTCAACTACTGAACAGACTCTGCAGAGGTTGATCTGTTTGGTGAGAAGCAGGGTGAATGCAGAGATACTCACTGTGTATCCCCAGAGGCAGTTGCTATGTTGTCTATATCTACACCTTTCTGTTCTCTGCTGCCCAGGATCAGATGTGGAACAGAGAAGACTGACCTGGTATGAGTTTTCTTGCTATATATTCTATTGTGAATGGAGACTTTTTATAATATGCTTCTACTCTTACCAGGGAAATGTGGCACCTGCTTGGTTTTAGACATGGTCCTGTATTTTTTTTGCAGTTAAGTAATTTTTCTCATTTTGGAGGCTTTCAAAGCTTCACATAAAGATAGTTAATGTTGAGGAACTACCAGTGATTTTCATCTGCTGGCAAAATCAAATTACCATTATTTTTAAAAAATAATGTTGAGGACAGCTTTTTATCTGTTGGGTCACAATGACATGTTTACCAAATAGTAGGGCAAGGTGCAAGAAAAGGAAATGACTAATTCAAACACATTGCAGAGAAGAAATAATGACAAAATTGTTTGGAAGTAGAAATAATCTGTTTCACTAGAGGTAAATACTGTCCTGTCTTACTAATTCATCTGGGTGTTGTTAAATTGGGGGAAAAAAAAAAAAGCAGCAAATCCATTTATGGATTACTTTCACTATGATCACATGACATAGTGTGGTGACTTTGCAGTGAAAGAGTAGACACTACAGAACAGCAACAGTGATTTCTTTTTCTTGAATAGGGTTAAAATGGCATAAGAAAAACCTGGCTGCTAGGGGGAGGCAGCATTTTTTCTTAGATGAGTTGTTGAGGTTGGATAAACTGTCGAATGGAAGGTTCAGATGAGAGTGAAAATACTCTGATCCCATCTAATAAAGGTGGTAGGTGCACATAGTCATCTGACTTCCACTAATGCACGGAGAGGGGGAAAGTGATTACTGAACTAGAAGTGCATAGGAACTCAAGCATGAGTGAGGACTCTATGGCAGGTGCCAACAAAGTAATAAAAATCTAAAGAATAAATAGGAAAGATACAGAAAACATTAAGGTGGTGTAGCAATGCTAATTGGAATAAAACTACTAAAACAATCTTATGTGCACAATAAAGTTGGTTTTTTGTACTTCAACTCTCAGATGACAAATATTGGACTTTTGTAAAAGCACAGTGAAAGATATTTAATTAAAATATAGTAATTAGTGTAAGCGTACTGGTGACTGAGTAGAGCATATTTTCCAGAATGGTGTGGAAGAACACCACACAGTTAAATGTTGATACGTGTTTGGAGATACACATGATACACTGGTGTGGAGCTGGATGCTTGGATAAGAACATGTATGGTGGGCAAATGCTAGTCTCTGTCAAGAAGCAGTGCTGAGCTCATGCAGCCTGTTAGCTCTCCTTTGCTGCTGGCTCTGTGCATGAACTGATGCTATTTACTGTCTTACTACTGCTGGTATGTCTAATCAGAGGCAGCATAGGGAACCTCTCGAAGAATTAAAAAGACTAGAAAAATGTCAACAGCAACACCGAGAAATGGAAGCTGAAGAAGGTGAGGCAGTGACAACAGGATGTGAAAGGTTTCAATTTGAGGTTGTAAGTTCAAATTTTGGGAAAGAGCACTAGTCACTGGCTGCAAGTTACTCATATCTGGAAGCCTATTTGAAATGCATTCTTTTCTTGAAGATCTCAATTAGCTGCAATACCTACTAGTGAGACATGAACACATAGATAAGAGCAAAGCTCTTCCACATCCTGAATTAGGATGTCCTTAGGGAATGGTGTGGAAACAGTGACAGGGATCAGCTGTGGAAACCTGTGCTGCATGTGCTGTGATTATTCCTCAGAGAACACTATTTGTATGGCTCCAAGGCAAGCACAGCTCACAGAAGCACTGCAGACCGCAACTCTTCCACAGTATCTTTTTGACTTTAGCACTGTTATGCATATTAGACTCCTCTAGCCCTATCACGAGGGGAAATTCTGCCCAAGGGACTACTTCCAAACCTTATTACAAAATATCCATATTCCCAGGTCTATATTGCCTCCTGTATAGTGTGGATGGGATGCCTCCTTGAGTGATTTCCTGTAAACATTTGAACAGACATAAATGATGGAAAGAATTTAGAAGAACAAGGTTAATATTTATCAACATGAATTATGTTAATATTTATCAACTTGAATTATAAATCAATGGTCCTGTACTTTCTCTCTCCCACAAGTGTATACTTGCATGCATATGATAAATGTCTTCATTGCTAAGCTTGGATTTTAGTGCAGTTGACTACACAAGCTGTCTAAACAGAGGCAAGAAACCAGAGACCTTGGAAGTTTTGGGATTGTCTCATGTAAGTTAGTGAAAGAAAATTTGCTTAGCTTTCCTTCTATATATATGCTTCCACAAAACAAAACAAAAGTGGTCCTTGGGTTTTCTTGTAATATAGTTTCCAGTTTTGTCAGGGAAATTGGACTCTAGTTTCTAAAGATCACTGGTTGTTTTCAGGTTTGGAATTAGGGTGGCGTTAGCCCAAAGAAAGGGGAATGTACCACATGAAGTGGCCAACAGAAACAAAGATATTCAGTGGCTCAGCCAGGGAATTGTACAAGTTCATTGTGAAGCAGAAAAAATCCCATGATGGAAAGAAGGGATCATCACCTCATAGTGAACTATATCAAGTTTGAACCAAGGCTTCTGCCACAAGTGCTGCAGGCATCAAACACTATATTTTACTGCAATTCATATTGCTTCAAGTTATTAGCAATTCTAAAGCAATATTTTTTGCTGCATACTGGAACGCAGGGTGGCTGTAGAAACTGGGCCAAAGCTTGCCCTTAGAATGAGCTGAATGTGTATCTGTACAAGAGGAAGAAATACAGTCTATTTTATATTCCTGTATGGGATAAAGCTTAATAAACTTATTTGAATTTCATCTTCCTTCTTGTTGTAATGAATTCAATATTCTGTCTTTTTATCACAATGAAGCCACAGAATCTTTCTCCAGGACTGTCATTTTTCCTGACACCATCCCCTCCAAAATCTCATGAAATGGTATGATGTGTGGTGTGAACCCATGGAAAGAGCTTTTTATAGGCATTTTGCAAGCACTTGGGTAACTGATAAGACACCTAAGGCTCCTGATGGAAGTTCCTTTGCACCTACTGCAGCTATGTCCAAATGATCTGTCTATAGCTTGAGGAGTTTCTCTGAGTGGGCAGCAGGTAACTGGACCTGTGCAGAGCCCCACTCACTACTGAGATTCAGCTAGGATGAGTTACACCTCAGGCAAATCACACCTCCCAAACCCTTTTAAAATAATTCTTACTTTATCCAGCCACAATAATTTTCTGCAATATTGTGAAATCCCCCTCAAATTTTTCCATGATAGACAAATTTATTTTTCATAGGGTTGTTTCTGCATGAAAATTGAGCTTTGACAGACAGTCTGTAGCCTGTTTTTTCGGGAGTTCGTGAAGTTGTCTTTCTGCCACCAAAGACTGCTGAAGTGACCGACTGCATGTGACCAGTTCTGTTGAGATACAAGCAGTAACTGACAGTTTTCCCATCATGAGCTGGAAATGGAGGAAAGTACCTCAAGGGATAGTTTCAGCTGCAATCTTCAGGGAGCAGGAAAGGAGGCTATGTACTATATGGTTGACAGGATGGCAGGTACTGCTTTGCTATCAGAACTGCTTCTTAGATTTGGTCCTTCTGGTATAATAAGAGGCTTTCTCCAAAAGTTTGTTGCTTGGTCAATGTTTGGTATTATGGAAACTGAGAAACCTGTCCTTAACCAGGCTCTCCTACTTTACTGTAATTTACCAAGGAATTCCAGAGGCAGGAGCCATCTTAATATTGTTCTTTCTTCATTAATCTTAACAGACATAGCCCCTTGACCAAATTGCCAATGGGTGAAAAAAGTAGTACACATGGGAAATAACTCCACTGACACCAGTGGAATGAAACATTCAATTGGTGTAAATCTGAAGAGAATCAGAAGAACTAGGAGGTCTGCTGCTGCTGCTGAACTTGTTTTACTCTGCTTGAGATTATAACACCTTACAGTTTGTATAATAAGGGCATGCAAAATTGTTTTGGAGGTATTTTTACCAAAAGATAGGATATTTCAGTTTTGCAACTGACACCAGTCCAGATTTCCAGTCCTGAGAACAGCAGCTCATCTGGGAAACAATTTTTTTGTTTGTTTGTTTTGTGGTGTGTTGTAGTCCATGTCAAGTCCTGTTTAAGTCTTACCCGTACTTTACGTCAAGAGCATTTCTAGTTCCAAGCTTGTATGCTAGCAGGTCTGCAATTATCCTACCTGTTTGTGAGGATAAACATTAATGTGGCACTTGATACATTCTTGTCCCATATTAGCCCAGGAGTTTCCACTCATCCATTTTCTTTTGCATTTGGGACACTTATATTCACCGAAGCAGCGTTTCTTGCCCTGGTATGGAGTCAGGCCTTCTCCTTTTGGACGAGCCTACAAAACAAAGGGAAGTAGCAATGAATGGCCAAAAAGGGATGTGGGGTGTGGGGGGTAGTAGGAAAGTAATTTGTTTTGTTTTGTTTTGTTTTTTTTTAAAACTAGGAGACTTTGGGCAAAAGAAACTGGGAGGCAGGCATGAAGGTCATATACCCTTAACGAAGAGGTCGTATGTGAAAGCTAGATTTTAAAAGTTCTTATAGTTATTTCTGTAAGAAGTATTCAAAAGTTCAGACTTGTAACACTTGTGACACAGAACATCATAGCATTTAGAAATGTGCCCACGTGCTTTTTGCAATAAATAGTTTCAATATCCATTTTATTATGATAACATAATCTCTATTGAGTACATATTGCATAGCATCTGCAGAAGTAGTGTAAAGGACTCTAACTAGATCCTTATTTATTCCTCATTTGAACATATTAACAAAACTTTCTGGAATTCAGTTTTGCACAGCCTCTAAGCAATTAAATATTGGCAATTAATTAGTATGTGGATACACGTTATTATATGGGAGTGCACAAAATGGGATTGAATATGAAGAAAAGACATGGGTTTGATTAGTGAAAATCAGTAATTTCATGATATTAATTTGTTTTCTTGCTCCTGGTAATTGGTTTCACCAATTTCTGTGTTATGAAGGAAATAGGAAGGGATTCTCAAATGGACTGTTGTGATGTCAAAATGTTAAATGTCCCCTAAAGAAAGTGTTTACCTATGGAAGATAGTAGACAATGACCCTTGGCAAATACCATTTCTATTTTTTTCTGAAGACACTCACTAGAACTGTGCTGTGCTTTACAAAAGTATAGTAAGGTACATAATATGCTGATATGTTAAGGTGAAGATGAGAGTACTGCATACAGCTGTATACATCTAGCTGTAAAGGTGAAGCCATTTTCCCAGAGTCTCTAGCAGGTGTTGAAATACCGTCCATGTAATCGTTGGGTTTTGTTTATTGTTGCCTAGAGGGAGATACTTTGCCTGTGTAGTGGCAGATTTGCATGACCACCTACCACAGGCTTCTTTGTCATTTATTTATGTTATGCCTCTGTGGCTTTTGTTTTTTTAAGGTTCCCAGATGAAGTTTACCAAAGTTAAATGACCCATCATGCTGGGAAAGGGTTTGTTTTTTTTCGGGAACTTGTATGATTCCTCAGTGTGTAGATTCAAATTGCTTTCCATGTGCAAACATGGGTTGAAAAAGCAGGTGGTTGTCAGAAGACCTGAGCTTGGAAGGAGCTCTGAGACTTGAGCTTCCTTGGCTGATGGAGATGGTGAACACTGTGTTACCTCCAGGGTTGCACATGGGAGCAAGAGGGAAAGGAGCGTTGAGTGTACTCCCTACCACACGCTGGCAGGTTGTACTTTACAAAGTACAGGAAAACTATGGAGGCCCCAAACCTAAGCCTCTCAGTTTGGATTTTTTGTTTTGTTTTGTTTTAAATGTACTGTTAGTAAACAATTTTTTTTTTCCTGCTTATTCCTTATTCCTTATAAGATTAGATGCAATAGCAACCTCTGTTACAAACACGCAAACATATAATAATTTGTTTCATGACACCCAATCTAACAAGCCACTGTAAATATTCTGGTTCATAGCAAAGATGAGGCAGCAACTAGGATGCATATATTTAGAGAAATATTTCACAGAAGAAAAACAAAAAAAAAGTTCATTGGTACAGTGAGAAACATTTGGACTTCTATGACTAAAATGAGTCCTGGCAGGCACCCATGGTTGGCATAAACCTCTGGTTCATGGCATCTCTTGATAAGGATGGGAGATTGTAATTGAGTGTAGGGCAGGAAAATGTTAATTTATGGAGACAAACTTATTCTGGACACTTAATTTGGCTCTGTCTCTGAGGAATTTGTACCACAACTCAAGTCAGTGTAGGAAGGAGCCACATGCTCTCTTCATTTAGAAATTCTTATGGAACTGAATAGGAGCCCTGTGTACAGGGAGCTCCCATGATTGAGAGAAGTCCCACCACCTCCTCCTGAGGCATTACAGATTGCTTTATTTGTAGTTTGAACTACAAATTGTAGTTATTGAACATTAGAAAAGTAATTTCTGATTCTCAGTTTCAGCTGCGCTCCACTTAAAATCCTTCCGCAGTCCGACCTGGAAATGAAGAACACTACTAAGAAGCAGTCCTTTCAGAAAACGTGCAGATCACAGGGTATGTTGTTTCCAAAAGTAGTAGCACTGACTTTGGAGACAGAGCATGCCTGAGAAGTCTTGTAAATATTTACAAACAGTATTTAAACATAACACTCCCACTGCAATATGTTATGCCAGCCATAAAGAGCAGTTAAACATCAGACTCCCACAGCAATATGTTGTGCTAGCTACAGTTTGCAGATGGGAAGCTTTCAGAGGTGGCCGCTTTGAGCAGGCTGGTAACCATAGGTCAGGTAGCCAACTCTTCAGAGATGTCAATGCCCTGAAATGCTCTGCCCTCACAAATACACAGGAGGGCACTGAAGACGTTCGCTGGTGAAGCCCTCTGTGTGTACAGCTGGCCATCAGAAATGGAGTCTTTCCAAATTAGAAGTTACTTTAATAATTTGGCTCTCTCTAACTCACTTAGTAAATCGGAAACAGAACCAGGAAAAGAACATAGGAGCCCTGACTCCAGCAGTAATTTCCTGTTATAATTGCTGGACTAAACTTCTGATTTATTTTTATTTTAATTATTTGGCTGTCACAGCTCCCTCCTCCAGCAATCATTTTAATTGTTTACTGTCAAAGCTACAACATTTTCTGTAGGTGTTTAGCTATTCTGCTTTATGGATGTTTATACTTTGCTCTGACATATTATTTTCCTTCCTATATCTTCAGTTTCCCAAACTATGCCCCACAGGGAATTTGAATTCTCAAACAAGCAAGTTCATTTTCTTTAGTGAGAAACATCATTAGGAAGCACTGACAGCAGCGACAGCAACTCTCCAACTCCTTCCACTCTTCAAGTCCAAACAAAACAGAAATTTGACAGTATATGGTGGAAGGCAGAACCTAAGCGAGATACACTAATGGCCTGAGAGGTCTGAAGCTGGATGTTTTCTATTTTTTTTTCCTCGTGTCTGTGGCTTCAGCAGCAGCACAGTTGAACTGCACAAACATTTCCAAGAAACTGCCTGCTCCTTGGTGCAGAAGTAGCCAGCCCTGCCCAGCAGGGTGCTCGAGCCACCGCTTGCACTGAGAAAAAGGTGTCTAAGTGCTCATCCAGCTCGAGGACAAGAACTGTTTTTACCAAAATTTTTTCTTAACTAAGTGCCCAAAAAAAAAAAAACAAAAACAGAACAAGAAGACACAATTTGTCTTTTGGTATCAACTTAGAGACTCTTATTTAACAAAATGTCGGCTTTACCTTGTTTAAACCATTAACCTCCTATTTCCTTCCCACCTTAGCCTGATTTGAACAGTGTTTAATAATAAACAATAATAACACTTGGTTGATGTTTAGGTCCTGCAATTCCCTTACTGAACATTATCTTTTCTTATTCTTTCTGCAGGTAAGGATTTATTTACATTCTGAGTTAACCTGGCAAAGTTGTTCCTCTATTCATAATGGCAAAATATTTTGTTATTGTATTTACAGATGTTGTCCTGTTGCCTGTAGGCCTAGGCAGTCTTTGGTCTGGTTTCTACCCTTGGCTGCAAAAGCTTGGTGGAACCTCTATCTTATCATGTTTGAAATAATATTCAAACTTGGTTACAAATTGTAATGTGAACAAGTTTTTTGTTTTCAGCATTGTCTGTGGAGTTGACAATGTTGTGTTTTAAGTGCTGATTTGATGGGCTTACTCCATAAAACCAAGGTTCCCAGCATTTCTGCTGCTACGTGACTGTATGGCTCTCCAACAGTTATGTGTATCTTCATTTAGACACTTCAAAGTTTATTTAGGACAGGTAGTTCTTTAGGGATGATCAAAACCATACAGTCTTCTAGAAGGACCAGAAAGTAGTCATTATCTGAAGTGCCTCAATGTCCAGATCTCATGCTGCTTTGACTTCAGGAATCAGCAGGGGATTTGCAGAAGAGAGAGCCTTTCTTCCCTGAGGTACCTCTGGGTTGGGAGCTGTAGCTGCCCAGAGCCCTTTCCCTCCTCATGGCCCTTAGCCACAAACTGATGCTAGTCTTGAACTGGTTTTGTTAGTGCTGAGGTGGAAAGGGGACTCCCTCAGGCCTTGCATTTGGGAAGCTGAATGGATTCTGCAAAAGCCTTCACTGGGCTCCCTGTCCACTAACAGTTAGCCAAAAGAAAGGACCTTGCCCTCTGATTCATAAGACAGCAATACATCACTTCGGTCTTCCAAGTGCAAACTAAGACAATTGAAATAATCTTAGCAGGTTTACCTAGCCAGTGCACATGTTTGCCTTAGCTAGATCCAATGTATGTAGAAAGCCAATACTTTTTTTTTGTGTGGCACAGCAATGAAAATGACATGGATATTCCATCCTTCACTGAACCCCGCTGCCTCTATTTTTCATCCTCTTCCTTCCTTCTGCCAAAACCACAAATTGGCCATTAGAAGACTTTAGAACTGTTTAAGTTGGGCTTTTCTGCTGGTTACTGGCCAGCCAAGCTCTCTCTCAACCTATTTCATCGTGTATCTCATGAAGAAATCTGCCAAATCACTTGGCAGTGACAGGCATAATAAAGGACTCTTTGCTTTCCTGAGACAATTCTCTCAAAGTATCAGTTTGCAGAGTCAGCAAAAAAAACACAAAACAAAGCCCTCCACATACCCTGCTTACAACTAGATTCATTATAAGCAATAGGGGCAGAGAGTTCTCATTATAAGCAATAGGGGCAGAGAGTTCCCTCAGAGTGAAATACTTCAAGTATTTGTTTGAACAAGTATTGTTGGAACAATTCATTTAACACTCT